AATTGACAAATTGGACAAAATCGGCTAATGGTTGGATAGCTTAGGGTAATATTGGCTAACTGAAAAAGAATAGGGTAAAATTGACAACGCATGTAAACCTTTGGGTAGATCGGCCAATTTTTCCCTCGCACGGACAACACAAAACGGAGAACCCTAAAACGAAATCCCCAATTTGTTCTCCCCCTCTCTAAATCACTTCCTTCACAAGAAATCGTCTAAAACTGTCAACCCCAACCCAATTTCCTCCACCGCCAATCTCGCGCCGATGCCTCCTTCACAATCGACCCAATAGGGTTTATTTTTCCCGCAAGAAACTCGATCCAGTTACAGCAACCTTTCACTCTTTGGACATGACAGAAAGGCGACTAGGTCGTGGTTTGAAATCATCAGGTCGGCGCTGTTGATGAGGCGAAGGTCGAATTAAAGAAGCAAGGGCTCTTTTTACCCAATCGCCGCCCTCCACGGTCCCAATTCTCACCAACGAATTCTTCATCGCCGAGCGGCGAGCGCCTCCTTTCGATGACATCAAGAAACCGTCGATGCACGACCGCCTAGAACTAGTTCCCTTTTATTTTCAAGTAGTTTCTGGAAGACCAAAAATGTCAATTATTCCGTTTACCTTAAAAAAAGGAAAAAAAAAAAAAGTCTATTCTGTGGTATTTTCTTGGTTAAAAAAAACACATTTAATTTTGGGATTGTAATAAAAAAAATAATACAAATATTACAATTCAAAGTGGATTATTCAGTTCACTAGAGAGAGTATTATTTTAGATCAAGAACATGTATTTTTTTTTCTTAGAATGAATGGAGTATTTTATGGTATTTATCTATGATGAGTCTGTATCCAGTATACCCGGAGGCACCGTATATCCCTCCTATTTTTTGCATTTCCAGTGCTTATTGTACTTTTTTACCAATCTTTCTATATTTTGCAAGTTTAGTCCCTGTCATTTTTTCTCTCTCTTCCAAAAAAACATCTCTAATCTTTCAATGAGCATATCTCCCAATCTGTAAAGAATTTGTGAACGAATTATATATGAAATTTATAATACTCGTCGAGATCTACCCAACAAGATCCATAGTGAATATTTTTCGGGCTTAAAAATAACTTAATTCTGATGGGCAGAATAAAGGTGGATATCCAGTTTTACAAGATATGGATAACCAACTTGTTTTAAATTGGTTATCCATTGTGTTCATGCTGATTATCCAATCAGTTTGAACTGGTTATCCATTTTGTTTGTACTGCTTATCCATTTGGTTTGTATGCCTATCAAACTTGTTTGTAATGGATATCCCACTTGTTTGTACTGGATATCCATTTCGTTTGTACTGGATATCCATTTGGTTTGTATGCCTATCCAACTCATGCGTATTGGTTATCCAACGAATTTATGTGCTTATCCAAATTGTTTGTACTGGTTATCCAATCATTTTTTTTTGTTTGAAAAAAATCATTGTCCAATATGCTAATACTGGTTATCCATTTTGTTTATACCGCTTATCTAATCATTTTTTTCTTTGAAACACGTACGGTTAAAGAAATATATGTAATACAAGAATATCAATCTAAACTAAGTTAGTTATCCATCTTCTTTTTTCTTTTTTTCTTTTTTTGAAAAGCAAATGTAAAAAATATGATTGGATAAAACAAAATAAGTAATTAGTCCAAACCGGTTGGATAATCAGTATGAACACAACGGATAATCATTTTTCAGTTTATTCATTTCTGCCCGTAAGATTTAAATGCATTTAAAGTTCAAAACAAATATGTAACATTGATCTTATCGGATAGATCTCGTCGAGCACTATAAATTCATATATAATTCGTGTTATAATTCTTTACGGATCAAAAGATATAAGGAACACAACAATATGAATGTAAAATAAGTTGGTTATCCATCTTCTTAAACTAGATATCCAATGTGTTCATATTGATTATCCAACTTCTTTGTGGTGGTTATCCAGTATTTTTTTTTCCTTGCTCTTTTATGAAAATAATTGTCAAACTTTTTTGTACTGATTATTCAACGTGTTGCACTGATTATCTAATTATTTTTTATTGATTATCCAAATTGTTTGCAATGCTTATCCAATCATTTTTTCTTTCTTTTTTTTTTTGAAGAGTGAATGTCAAAAATATGATTAGATAACAAGTACAAACAAAATGGATGATCAGTCCAAACCGGTTGGATAATCAGTAGGAACACAACGGATAACCATTTTTCAAAGAAAAACGAAAAATACATTTCTTCATTTCTGCCCGTAAAATTTAAATGCATTTAAAGTTCAAAAAAAAATTCAACATGGATCTTATCGGATAGATTTCGTCGAGCACTATAAATTTCATGTATAATTCGTATTATAATTCTTTACGGGTCAAGAGATATATGCAATACAAGAATCTTAATCTAAACTAAACTGGTTATCCATCTTTCTAAACTAGATATCCATCTTATTCTGCCCATCAAAATTTAGTCATTTTTAAACTCGAAAAAAATATTCGACATGGATTTTGTTGGATAGATCTCAACGAGTACTATAATTTTCATATATAACACGTTCTCTAATTTTTTACGGATTATGAGATATGATCGTTTAAAGATTAGAGATGTTTTTTAAAGAAGAGAAAAAAATTAAAGGGACTAAACCTGTAAATTATAGGATGTTATTTAGAAAAGTAGAAAAAAGTGTAATAAGAACTAGTAGTGTAAAAAATAAGAAGGGGAGTATGATGCCCCGGGTATACTGGATAAATTGCCCTCTATGATTATTTGGAAATTTATCAATTCCTCAAGGTTTAAATGGAAGAATCAATCAAAGTGGTTACTTTTAAATGTTGGACATGACGTGGAAATTTTCAACCAACCAAAAAAGAAAAAAAGAATTCTTATTGGAACGAAAAATGAATTACATCTAAATCATACGTACGAGATTATTCTATATCGGCAAATATGTGTGGTACCACTATACATAATGCAAGTTAATTATTGGATCTAACACGCATCACTACATGATCAAAGATTACAATGTTCGTGAATCATATAGTCGTTTCATTATATGGGATAAACTTTTTTTTTTTTTCTGGAGTTTATTTTTCTTGTAATTGAAGGGGACCATATAAGATGTACATCATACAGTGGATTTTATTCATAATTCAAGGGGACCATAATAGACACTGATCGATTATCAAATAATTTACAAGATCAATAATGATCTATATTTAATTTAAAGTAACAGGAAAACGAAACAAATTAATTAGTTAAAGTTTTGTGGGAGCATTTGAGTGTATTTCTTTATTTATGAAAACTGTAATTCCGTAAAAAATAAAATAAAATAAAAATGAATGAATGATCAATCCATGAAAGTTACAGGGTGAAGGGACCATATATCAAGGCCAAAGCAAGTACGTAGTATGTCATGACAATGTGAAAAGCGTCCTTTATTCCACGTTTAATAAGTACAGAAGTCAATTTTGGGTTATAAAAATAACGTAACGGGGACCAAATTATATATGGGTCATACATTGTTTTATTTAAAAAAAAAAAACTCAATGATCACAAAAATTCAAATGTCTATAAGTACAAGGGAAAATAAAATCAATTAATGGCAAACATCATCTTGAATTGACTAATATTCAGAAATAACTAAATCATCAATAGAGCTTAATGTATTTCAGTGTGCAATTAATCAGGACATAATCCATCACACGGCGGATTGGTTTCATGACATTTTTACTTGGTTGATTTTCAACCATTTTAAGTTGTTAGGTATAATAACCGCCATATCAATTGGAGTCTTGTGCACCCCTCTTGAGACATCAAAAGTTCGAAAACCGTTATTTTCAATATGATCAAGTAGTTGTTAAGCTCTTACTCCGTCCATTTTAAAATATAAATAATTTAAATTTAAAAAGATATTTTAAAATATTGATATTTTAGAATTTCAAAACAAATTAATTACTAATTTTCTAGCTTCATCCTCAGTTACTAATATTAACTACGTTTCATGTAATTTTGTTTATAATTTCAATACATTTTATAAGAGGTGTAAAGATATTTGACACATGAATTAATTGATAGACTAGATGCTTGGCCCGGCAGATGTCCGGGCGCTCTTCTACTTTAATTTTGCGTTAATAGATAAATAAATTCTTGATTTGGAAAAAATAAAATAACTACACATTTAGTTTTTTTTCTTTTTTTAGCCAAAATTAAAAATAAAAATAAAAAAAATCATCTCCCAAAGGAGAAAAAATATTAAAAAGTACAACCATGCAGAAATCATACAAAAGAATGTGGAGTAATAAAGGGGATAAGTTTATGGGCAAATTTAAATGCTATTTTAATTTGATTGATAAATGAAAAATGTTAGGAGTTAAAATTGTGTAGCTATTTTTGTAAAATAGCTTTTGTTTCTCCAGATAAGAATTTTATTTTATTTTTTAAAAAAAAGATGACATGTGGCAGAATAGTTAATGCAATATGGTGCATTTGGAGCCAAAAATTTTTAATGAGAAGTTGCCACATCAACATCCTGTATTCTGCTTTAATAGGGTAAAAGGGATGATTGTCTCTTTAATTTACATGCTAAATTTAAAGTGAATTATCTTTTCAAATGTAAATGATGGATAACTAGAAGACTCAACATATTCCTCCTTTTCACAATGTAAGTCTAGTTTTTATTTTGGACTATGTCAAAATATAAGTCCAATTTGTATTACAAGACATAATTTTGTTTATTTTACATAAATTACCCATGTCTCTACAATGAATTTTTAATTAATGGACCTTTTATATTTGCTAATTATTAATTCTTAATATTTGTGCCACTCAAAGTAGACTTACACAGTAAAAATGAGGTAATATTACTTCGTCCCCCACTCTATAGAGGTTTCACTTTTTAAAAATTTAGCTATGTTTGGATGGTTTTTTAAGTGTGTTTTTTTGTATTGGGAATATAAAAAGGTATATTGAAAATATAAAAAGGTGTATTGAAAATGTAAAAATCTATGCTGGAATGGGATAGATGTTAATTAAAAATTCTGAAAAAATGAACGAAAAAACGAACCAAACAGAGTAAGTGCTTAAGAAAAATTCTTGTTTGACTTGTTTTGTAACATCAGGCAGCAAACTAAATCTACCTCCAAGTTTATGCATAAATATACAATCCCAAACCATTAGGTTCATTGGTTAATTGTAGATCATAAGGGGAAAACATGGGTTCAGATGAAAATCTAGGTAAGGAACTTCCCATAATACATTTCAACAACGAGAGCTTGACTCCTGGTTCGAGCTCTTGGGTGTCAACATCCCAGATGATCCGGTTAGCGCTAGAATCATATGGCTGTTTCGTGGCAGTGTGTGAAAGGTTAATCTCGTTAGAGATGCACCACAAATTATTCGATCTTTCCAAGGACTTATTCAACTTGCCAGTTGAAACCAAAGAGAAAAGTACCTCGGAGTATCTTGGTTTTGGTTACGGTGCGAATTTTGGCCCCTTCATGCCCCTCATAGAGTACTTGGGAATAACCTACGGGTCAACTCATGAAGCAATCAAGGTGTTCACCAATCTTATGTGGCCTGACGGAAATGATCAATTTTGGTACCCTTCTATTTTCTTTTTTTCTTTTTATTTATTCCTTTTTTCCTAAAGCATAATTACATTATTAAGGGTCCTTTAAGTAAGCTTCCTCAATAGAATCAATCCCTCTTTTTAACTTGGGCCATTAAATGAACTAGTATTATTCCCGGCACGATGTGCGGTGATATAATATATTATATACTAGTATAATAATAAAAAAATGTATTATTTTGGTTTGGCTAATAATTAAATGTAGTCTCTGATTTATTTTATTTTGTATCCCGGTTTGACCATAGGATTTTTTTTTATCATGTGTATGTGTATATAAGTATAAGTTTTTAAATTTTTTAAACAGAGGTTTGATGATTAATTTTGATTTAATTATCCTATTTTAGAGTGATTTGTCCACTACCTTTTTTTTGTGTTTCAAGCATCAAATGAAAATGATAAAGTACAGTAAATCTGATCATTCGTTTATGTTTACACTCTTTAAAATAACCATATTACTTGTATAAAATACTTAGTAAAAAATTCACGAATTAAAAGATGACATGTGTATTATAAAAAATTCTTAACGAATGGAAAGATGACATGTGTCTTTAAAACTTATTAATAGTCTAATTGACTGACATGTGTCTTGTGAAAAAAATTCTTAAGATTTGTTTGTTGTACTACTATTTTAGTTTGTTATTAGGATTGATTATTTCTATGAGACACGAGAGGTATATCTGTTAGTTAATTTAAACACGTTTATATTGAATTTGAAAATCAGCGAAACAGCGTATTCGTACACAAGGCAGCTGCTAGAATTAATGAACGTAGTAATGAGGATGGCATTGGAAAGCTACGGTGCAGAGAAGTACTATGATCTCTTGGATGAATCAGCGTTTCACATGATGAGGCTCATCAAATATAGAACTCCCAATGAAGATGAGATTAACGTTGGGCTACATCCCCATGTCGACAAAACTTTCCTAGGCATTGTCGACACAAATCACGTTAAGGGACTTGAGTTGCAAACTAAAGATGGAGATTGGATCGGTTTCCAGCCTTCTCCTTCCAACTTTCTCATACTTGCTGGTGAAGCATTCACGGTGAAACCCTCTTTAATTTGTTTGATCATCTTTTATTAATTTTTTTTTTCATCCTATAAAAATTTGTTCAAATCCACTTCATTGGCCAAAATTAAGTAAATTTAGTGGAATTGTTAATATTTTTAGTCCGCTAATCCGATTAAATTAATTATTGTTGGGATATATATAGGCTTTGAGTAATGGGAGAGTATATGCACCGTTGCATCGAGTGATCATTGGAGGAGCGGAAGAGAAGTATTCCATCGGACTATTCTCATTTATGCATGGGACGCTGGAAATCCCGGAGGAATTTGTTGATGAGGAACATCCTTTACAATTCAAGCCATTCAACAACGTTGCCTATCTCAATTACTGTGGAGGAGAAAACGTGATATCTGAACACGCCATTAAAGAATTCTGTGGCATTTAATTAGTACTCTCTCATCTCATCTTCCCTTCCATCATCCAAGACACATAAAATATTGATGCTTTTGATGATATACTTCAAATTAAACTCCTCTTATGTGCCTATAATTAAATTGTAATATATTCGTGACGCAGCTGTCATTGTTTTCACCAGTGCTAATATGACTTGTATTGTATTATAATCCGTATTATATTAATATAGTGACGTCCAAATTCTATTCCTCAAGAACTTAGAAATACATCTCCAAATTGTGATGTTGTAAGGGGTTAGTCTAAACTTTAGTTGTGAATACATTTTAATTATTGTTAAACGATTTCCATTGTTGTTACCCTTGAGCTATGTTTCATCAATCTTTTATAATCTGTTTATAACAGTTAAAACGCTTTACAATAAAAATCCTAATGATAAATAACGGTAGATAGAACGTTTTCAAAAAAAAAAAAAAAAGAAAAGAAAAAGAAAAGGATAAACAGCCATGGAAATAAATGTTTGATCTGAATGTGAAACCAATCGAGCCCGATTGGCACTGAGGAAAGGCCCAATCTTTGGGCTCATTTATTATCATCGAAATGTATAAAATTCCCTTCTTCTAAAAAATCTCCTTAATTTGTCATTATCAGTTACAATCATCCTCTACAGTAAATACAAATTCGCAATAAAGAAAGCAAAATGACAATCCTGATGATACTTGCAGAAACATTATAGGCATTATCATGACCACTTTTTGCAAAAGCATGGCCTTTTAAAGCAATAAGCTGACTCTAGTAAAATTACCATGGAAAGAACCAGCAAATCAAGAAAGAATGTACTTAGGAAAATTCAATATTGAGATTTGACTCGTAATACAAGTAGAGTTATTTTCGTTACCCCTCATAGGTGTTAGTTTGAGTTATGAATACATTTTGTAACCAATGTGAGAAATCATCCTTTCACTTTTCCATTCAAAACATATATAATCAACCATCACCGAACCAGGTTTATTACAGAGACCTTGAATAAAACTTACTACTCTCTCTGTCTCGAAATTATTGCACAATTTGTATTTTTATTTTTAATTCAATTTATATTAAAAATAAAAATACAAACTGGACAATAATCTCGGAATAGAAGGAATATCATTTAGTCAATAACCCATTCTAGTAGAGCACCGTTTGCCTATAAGTATTTTGTTCATAGTTAAACTAAGAATTGTCGTCATTGGGAATTTGAGACGATTTTCTCAGAAGAATGCAAATTAATCAGCGCGACCGAATGAAAAAAAAAAAAGGAAAAAATTATATGTAAATACTCTGTCTCCATCGTATTTAATCAGCGCGACCGTGGAAAATATCCCTCCCCCAAAAAAAAAAAAAGAAAAAAAAGGAAGAAAACATCAATCTAAGTGAGTTCTTGCAGGTGTAAATTAAAAACAAGTCTACCATTCCCCTGGAAGACAAGTTTTGGCTGGACAGGCCATTGATGATTGAAGACCACATGGTTATGGTTTTTCCAGAGCCCATAATTTTGCATCACTGTTGGTTACCTCTGCAAAATTTGGGAGCACTCTCTCTGACCACTTTATAATTTTGTATGTTTAGTTTTTTTTTAATTTTATTTTTGGGTCTAAAAACAAAACACTGAAATTTTCCTCACCCACCAGACATATTGGCGCACCACAAAGCATCTAGAGATTTGGAAAACGAATTGGAATTATACCTATTGAAGAGACAGTGACAACTATATAAAATATATTTATGCCACCCGATTGGTCATCAACTTGTGATCAAAATTCAATTCTTGGTGGGCTATACATATATTTTTTCCCCTTGTTATTCCTTACATGCATATATTAACATGTAGCTTGGATTTATCGATACTTTTTTTTTTCTTGCAGTATTTTGATCCAACATTGATTTAACCATTGTTTATCTTCAAAATTGGTTTGTCCCACTTTCTGGAGGTGGATCTTCCTTCGTATACGGGGCAGTATTGGTGTCGGTTTGTGTGTCTTCTTACTTGGATATCCCCAAAGACCCATTCCTCCCTACCAAGTAGCCCCTCCACCTTTATGCATCTTGACAAAAAAACACCAACAGAGACTCCTCATTTTGGATGCCTTCATATGATTTGATGGATCTTATCCCCGCTAGGCACCTTTTTTTTTTTTCCATGAAGAAAATCTTACCATGTATTTTGTCCATTTCCTTCACATTTACACAATTCATTCATTCATTCATTCACATTCGATGCATTGCTCAATGTGTATTGCGCACATCTCATTACCAACTTTTAGCTGATATAAAAGTTACTACTTCTTTCTTCTTTTTTTTTTTTTTTTGCGCGGGGGTGGCCAAGATTATACTTGTGCCTTTGTTGGTGTTTCATTATATCGTTTTGTTTTTTATTGACGTAAAAATACACGAGGTAGAGCAAATGATCATCTCCATTTTTACTAGTATAATTAATCTTTAATGAATATGTTCATGAAATTATTTGATACCTTAAAAGATTATACGCGAATGATTTGATTCATCTAAAACAAATTCTAGATACTTCTATCTAATGATAAAGAAAAATCGATCTATCTTATCTTATTCTAAACAAATTATGATCGTTATTCAATTCTTCGTCAGTCTTATCCGGAGATAGTGAACAAAGTCTTAACGAGTTAAGTGCTTTATCGAAAATCTTGGATTTGACCCCAAGATACTCTTTCCAAGTGACTGGCCTGTACAAAGGTGGGTGGGATTGGTCGAGTAATTTGGGCACCGGGGAGATAGTAACACCAGACGGAGGCCCATAGAGATATGCTATGGAAAAACGGTGCCGGGTACGGTTCACAACAGCCCGATGGAGGACACTCGGGAACAACCCATTGGATAGTATTTGAAGAAGGTCCCCCGCATTGACAACAAGGGCTCCGGGAAGTGGAGGAACCGTGACCCACCCGGTCCCTTCTCGGTGCACCTGAAGTCCACTGGTGTTGTTTTGGTGGAGGATTGTGAGTATGGTGGAGTCCGTGTGTGCTGCTAGACCCATAGCCCGGTCGGGTTCGGGGCAGGCAGGATACGAGTTCAACTGAATCGCAGCACTTCCACCTTCCGGGTTATGATTCCCGTCTTTTGGGCCAGCCCATTCGATGTCTCCCTCCTTAATACCCAATGACCCGAATATCAGCCACATGAGGTTCATCGCCAACTTTTTCATTTCCTTCTCAAATTCCTCAATTACATCACTGAAGAAAAAGAAAAAAAAACACGAAAGAAGACAATTAAAAAATTTGGCATTTTATATATAAAAGGTCTACTCGTCGAATTTGAATTATTTAAACAGTAGATTCAAACGCTGTATAGTATAGCAAAAAAGTGTTATACCGGAGAAAAAAAGAAAGAAAGAGGGGGAAGAGGCAAAATGCGATTTCATTTTCAAGAATCTTTTCTCTCTAAAATGCAAATCTAGCAAGGTAGTGGGACCTCTTAAAAAAATGGCATTTACTTTGTAATCTTTGCTTGTTGACCCTGAGAAGATTCAAAAGATAGGTTAACTGGTCCTTCTCACTTTTTCACATTGTCTAACCACAAACAGAAAAATGACAACCTCCCAAATAGGTTAATCACGGGGGAAAAAATCGATCATGTCTAAGCGGTATAGAAATTTTAGAAAAGGACTCCTGTTTCTCGAGGATGAAATTGAAAATACTAATCTCTTCGTCTCAAAATTATTGTCCAATTTTAGTATAATTTGAACAAACTGAACAATAATTTTGAGAGAGGGAGTATAATAAAAATGACCAAGGGTTCATGTTGGCACAAAAATAAGAACCAAAAAAAAAAAACTAATAACAAAATAAAATCAGGCAATTATATTAATTAATTGTAATACGTGCATGCATGTTAATTAGTGAAGATAGGATACCAGAAAGTGGAGTGATCTTGGGGCCAAAGCCGGCGAGCATGCTCCAAAGGGGATCCAATGATGGTGAATCCTTCCGACCACATCACTTTCGGGAAAAACGACGAGATCGGCGCGACACCGTAGCCGGAAAACCCGTCAATCGAACGAGCAGCTTTCAGCTTTTGTTGCATCGGAAGTGAGAAGAGCTTTTGACTCAAAGACTCCATTTCTTGGAGCAAGCTCTTGGGGAAACCATGGTTCTTAACCTGGAAAACACCCCAACTCCTGCATGCGTTACCTAGTAACTCGGAGACATTAACGTCGGACAAATCGATCACCGGAACGGTTTCCACTTGGCTGCAAAAATCATCCTCCAATGAACTGGATGCCCATGCGTGAGATTCAGGTAGTTCCTGAACCGAAGATAGATCCAGCTGTTTAGGGTGGGAGTACACTGGATAGGGTTTTATGTACTTCTGATCTCCCGGAACTTGTGACGCCATTAACGTCATCCCGAATAAAAAAAAAATAGAGATGAAAACTGAAAATATATCCAAAGAAAGGTTAAAAGGGCTTAATTAAAAGTAGAGCTTCTTTACAAAGAGAGGGCTTTGGATCAATTAGATTTTGAAACTTGTACTTAAATTGTTAATCCTGCTAAAACTATAGTACTAGCCAGAAGGAAATGAAATGAGCTGGTTTTGGGGGATGGATGGATGGATCAGTGTTTTGTGCAGTATTTATAGTCCAATGCACAATGGATCATGACAAGATGGAGAGGGGGTTATATTAATTAATTTTGAGAGAATGAACAAGCCATTTATTTGTTTCCTCTTTTTCTTTTTCTTTCATTTTATTTTTTTTTTCCTTTTTTTGCTTTTGATTTTTGTTTTTGTGTGTAGTGGTGGCGTTGGGATTGTTGAATTTGTAAGGTAAGGGGGGACAGACGTGATTGAGAGTTTGCTAGAATAGTGATTTTGTTCTTGGACATATAATTTCTTTTTCTTTTTTTTTCTTAGGAGCTAGCTAGAAAGTTACTCAAAGGTCCATCTTGTCCCCGACCCGATTGATTTTTCTTATACATGTATCATGTTTTGGGAGTAGAAATCAGAAAATACGTACGACAGCGTCCTATAAGTCCTAACCAGTATAACTTAACTTGACATAGTACTATCGAAATTTAGGTCATGGTTTTCACTATGATGTAAAATCCCCCGGTCTTTCATCTAATAATTGTTGTTACGGTTGCAAATTACATCTCAAATTCAGTAGATAAATGCAAAGGGGAATTTGTCAATCTCTAAAGATCCATGTGGCGGTGTCTTGTCTTCAAGTATAAAACCATCTACATCACCCTCTCCCCACTTGGTCTTGATCCTCTCCATTGCTATAAGACAATTCCCCTACGTAGCCCTTCTCCTCCAATCATTTGTTATATTAATAATATTATTTTCTTTTTTTAAAAAAATATATTATTTTTCTTCGTTATAGCCCTTTTAGTTTTTAGCCCCCTCACAAATCAAGTATAGTCACTATTAAACTAATGTAATAAAGTTTAGCTGTTACGAAATGAATAATGAAAGATCTTTGCATGAAATCCTACCGTTATAAATTTTCTTACTTATTACGGCCATAAGATCCTTGGAGAGAAACAATGAGGGAGAATGACGAAAACAAAATACATTTTCCCTTCTGTATCTTCATCATATATTGGAGAATGGGGAAGAAAAGGAAGCGCCCTTATCTGGAATTTGGGTGATGAGTTTTTAAGAGTGATCTAAGCAAATCTCTTAATGTGCTAGGCATTCAATTTTGAGATTGTACTTTAGCTGATTAATATGATTGATTATCTTGTATTTTTATAAGAAACGTGGTACATAGTTATATTACTTACTATATCCGATGAAATAAAAATCATTTCCCATTCTAATTGCAATTGCCAAAGTTAAAACTTAAAATCTTTCGAGATTATAACTTATAAACATCCCATTCTTGATTGCTTTCCTTAATTAGCATGATCAGCTGAGTCATGCATGATGGAGATTTAGAATACGAAATTGATGATCGACATTCATTATTATCCAATGAAAATGTACTAAAACTAATCAAACAGTCAATTTTCACAATTATTAATCATTATTCCATCCGTTCAAAAAAAAAAGTATCTATTAAACTAAAATAATATAATGGTAAAAATTTTATCTTACGACGAAAACAACACGTAATAATGTGTCAACTGGTACCAACGTTACGTTCATACTTCATACCGTGAGCGAGATGGAAGAGCATCGTTGTCTTCCGAAAAAGACAAAAAATGTGGAAGGCTATTATGTATACTTTTTAGACAATGGCGCATTTCGTCACTTGGGTTTTAAGGGGGTGGCAAATTTAACGTTTAGTATTAAGCAATTAGATTTTGGTGCCTACATTGTCCCAATGCTCCAACAGTGGACCCAATTATTGGGGGCTCTCTCAAAATCGATCGCTACACACCATTAGTTAATCCAACATCAATATTGACGGACACTAGTTTTGTCTTAATTCTGGCAATTGGGGGTCCTCTTTTTCTTTGTTGTGGTTTTCGTTTTTTGCTTTGAATTTGTTCATAATAATAAAAAATATTGGAAACTCCATGGCATGAATCGATCAGATCGGAGCTCTATCTGTGTGTAAGAAAGAGTTCGACTTTCACCATGAATGAGAAATTCATCTATGAAATTAGTAGGGTCTGGCGCTGCCCCTTCACCACCATCTCTAGTAGCTTTCGAAATGGAAGGAAAAAAATTATTAAAAAAAAAGGTTTCTATTTCTATCGCGTTAGTATTTTGGTTTTTATTTTTATAACAAGTATGGTTATGGTTGGGTAGACATGAAACAAAAATGACATTAGCGTCACTTTGGATTAATGCCGGCGGTCCAAGACAACCAGACATCGGACATGTGCGACGGAGGACATAATCACACACATGCATATGTATTCATATAATTGTATTTCTAATCATCTCTGAACATATTTTGTTCTTTCACATGGATTTAGTATATATGCTTCAATTGGTCCGTGAATATTTATGTCTTCCCTTGGAATAAGAAATAAAGATTTATTACAATTATATACTCCACATTTCAAATTTTGGCTAACTCTAATTTATACACAGTAATATGTGTCCCGGACCCGAAATACCATTACTGTGTCAACTATTATTAAATATAGTTAAGCATAACAGACACGAAAATTAAGTTATGTAGATCAAGCTATCCTAACAGTTCAATAATATGATCAAGAAAAGCTACAAACTATAATAATTATAATATACTTCTACTACTGTCTCATAATAAGAATTATGTTTGCTGTATTAAACCCATTTAAGAAATATTTTTTCAGGACTGGTGGAGTATACATTTCATTTGGTTGCTTGTGATGGGCCTCGTAGTTGATGAACTGCAATGGTAGTTCAACATTAATTCAGTAAAAATCAATAGTGTATCAGCTGCTGCCATTTTTGCAGTAAAGCTATCAAAATTTGTAAAACCTTAAAGAAACAAACTACTCGGAGATGAAAATGGATCATGCACGCTTTTCTGTCTTTCGTCACTTTGACACAATTGTTACCTTTGACATTAATGCTAGTACCCTCTGTCCCAAAATTATTGTTCAGTGAATCCAAACTTAATAATAATTTTAGACATGGAAATTATTTTGAACTTACTTGTGATAATATATTCCGAGTTTTACTTTCTAACAAGTTATTATATCGGAATTCATGATTGATATGGATTGGTCTTTAGATATGTAAAGTTAAAATCTTGAATAGTAGAAAGTAAAACCCTTTTTAGAGGAAAAATACTGACTGAGTGATTTTAGGAGGAACTATTAGTTTTGAAGAAAATAGATTGCTTGACAGACCTTAGATTTTCTGGAACATATATATTGTCACCGTCCTAATTATATGGTAACACACACTAATTTTGTTTTGAGACGAAAAAGAGTATGAATGTTTTGAGAGGCAGCCAGTCGACAAATATTTCAAGGTGTTGACGATTGCAAATTCATTCCTTATGTTGAAGAAAAAATGGGTAATACATGGCGACGTTCTTGCGATGAACGATACCACTAGAAATATATGACAGCATTTAAGCAACAAGTAATCATCAGAACCTAGAAGTTAAGTACGTCAAAAGTTATGGGCTCTTTTCGAACCATAATTAATTATTCCTTTTATTCTAAAATAATTATTATGTTTATTAACACTCTCTCCGTCCTAAAATTATTGTTTAGTTTGTATTTTTCAGTTTTAGTACAATCTGAACTAAAAAGAAAATTTCAATTTGGACAATAATTTTAAGACGGAAAGAGTATAATTTTAACAAACATGATAAATATTTTGAGAGTTGGGACGGATGGAATGATTAGTAGTGGTTAACTTTTGATCAATTATTTCCTGGTCCAATAAAAGGTGGTGGTAAATAAAAGAGGTTTTGTGATAAGGAAGCTTTGAGAGTAATCAACTTATTAATCATGCCAGAGACAACCCTTTTTGGTGCTTAATCCCTTTATAATCAACCAGAGATCTCGTTTTTACTGTGGTCATCATTCAATCTAACAGTGAAAATGCATGTCGGTAAACCCCTTAAAGAATGAAAGTACATGGTGACACTTTTGTACTCTTTCTCTCTTGCTTTTCCTTATCTTTTGGGCAAACATTTCTAGATGTTAATGTCACACATATTTGGTCGGTAAAATAATTTATATAATTTATTTTATGAAATGCATTAGGGCCTACTTCTTCATGTCTCCTTCTCTATCAGATGTTTATGTTTATTTTTGAGGATGTAAAACATTCATTATCATTTCCTTCCGTTTTTTTTTTACAACATACAACGCTGGTGATGGTTCAAGAAATGATTATAAGTTAACAATGATTATTAATCTTTCTTGCTGAATATTGTAAATTTAATTATGTTTAATTAGCTACAATCTCTTTCATCGTATAGACAGATAGCGTCTTTTTGGGGTTTGCCGACTCGTAAATTACTAAATTGCCGATGTCTTCTCTCGATTTCGTCGGGACACGGTATGCAATCGTTAGCGTCGTTCTAACTTCCAACCAGTGTACTACTGTTAAATGAATGAAAAAATGAAAATATGCCTCATGTTCCCTTGTCACACGTGGATGGAAGGAAGCACTTGAACCCAACATATATACCCCATCTGCTACTCCTCTCATCACCAATTGGTTTTGAGGTAGAACTACATATGGGCCTATATTTGGCCTTCAAGATGGTATCAGAGCAGGTTTTATCCGCAGACCCATGAGACTTGTGGGGCGAGATCGACTGACTGATATTGGACCTTTGACTTACCCAGATTCGGGCTTTGACTTTGAACTTTAACTGTCCCGATAGACGATGGTTTATTCGAAAAAATAACCGATCGCAAGACTAAAAAATTAATTTAAAAAATGTATAAAATTACCAGTCCAAGTCCATTGGGCTTGAGAGATACGTGTTAAATGAATGAAAGAATAAAAATATGTCTCATGTTCCCTTGTCCCACATGGATGGAAAGAAACACTTGAACCCAACATATATACCCCATGTGCTACTCCCCTCATCACCAATTGGTTTTGACGAGGAACCACATGTGAGCCTATATTTGGGTCTTCAAGAACGATAATAGAATTCTCTTGTTGGAAAATAATGGACAATATATAGTTATTAGCAAGTTTTAATTTGATTCAATCCATTATACACATGAGTAATTTTTCTTCTTACAATAATAAATTCGGCTAGTAATATTGTCAAAGCAGTGTTTAGCCTCCAAAGCAAAAATAATTTATTTTTTCAAAACTGCCCTGAATGAACTCAAACAAGTGTAGCATGAAGTTTCACTAAAAGTACCC